GCTGTCCACAGCCTCCCTCAGTGTGGCCTCCACCCGCAGACCCCACTCTATAGGCCTACAGGGACCTCGGAGAGCTTGTTGATCAGAAGAGCAATCTCCCCTCACATAGCCCTGCTCCGGAGCCCAGATCAGCACCACATCCCGTGGTAGGGAGGCCTCGAGCACCTCCGCCTTCTATTAGGCATCGCTAGAACTTTGAGGGAAAAGAAAGGGGGGGATCTAAATATATACATATAAATATAAATATATACCTTTTATCTCGTGCTGATTTCCTCTTTTTTCTCTTTAACTTTCTGTACTTTCTTCATCCCCTTCTTTCTTCCTCCTTGTTCACTATTGCTAATACTTCTCTTCTGCCCCTCTTCTTTAGGTATAACCTCTATCTCTTTTCATTTTCTTTTCTCACTCTCACTATTATCACTTCTCTTCTCTCCTCTTTTACAGTTTTTCCTTCCTTTTCCCTCTCCATTATTTTTCCTTTTTATCCCCCAAATTTAAATTAAAAAAAATTTTTTTTCAACCATCTAAAATTTTTTTAACTTTTTCCTTTTTGATACTAAATAACAAAAAGGGGGGGTGCTAAGGGTACCCTGATAGACCAGGTCAAAGCAGCCAAGAGGCATTCACAGAGGCCACATCCCCCACTCCTGTCGCTGAAACATCCCACCACTACTGGTCACCAAGCCTACGAGGAACTCTGCTCACACAGCAGTCTGACACATCTGTAGAGTAGGTCAAAGGCAACCACCTGAGAGAATCCCTAACAGTAACACAGATAAGGGCCCCCTGGCCTCCCAGAAACATGGGGCCTATGAAAGGATCGAGGAAAAATCAGCAGACCACATCACTCCCAACAAAAAAACCAGAGAAACAAAACATAGTAGCAGAACTAACGTCTCTCATAGAAAAAACAGATACAGATCTGCCACAGAAGGAAATCTTCAGAAGTCTACTGGCAGTAATAAAGGAGCTGAAGTAAGCAACCCAGAACAAGGATACAATAATAGAGGAGATGAAGTCCACAATAGAGGGGATGAAATCCACAATAGAGGGGATGAAGTCCACCCACCAAAGGGAACTGCAGGAGCTAACAAAGGAGGTAGCAGAAGCCACACACAAGGTCACAGAATTTACGATTAGGCTTGAGGAGGCAGAGAACCATATCAGCGACCTCTAGGACACTCAAAGAAAACTAAGCAACTGAGATAGACAGTCAGATAGGAAAATTAAAGAAACAGAAGAGAGCTTGAGATCAATGTCAGATGCTATGAAGAGGAATAATCTTCATATT